GATTAATTGTAGTTGCCCTCAGTGCCTTACTTTTGGCAATAGCTAGAATCTTAGCTGATATTCGAGCGTTGTGTGTGATGTTCTGCTTATACCGATGAGGATGCCGCGGAATGGCAGACGCCATCCGTTCACTAGTCCAATATTTATCCATTAGTTTATTATAATTATCTACATCTACGTCGCCAGGACCATCACTAGATACAATTAAATCGGTATTAGTGATTGCCAACAAATTGAAACAAAAGAAAAGAATAAGTTTGAGCAGCATGCTGTGATACGGATACTATTTACAATTGAATTATAAGATGTGCTTTTCTTACAATATCCTTTCACTAGATCAGCAATGGATATAAAAAAATATGCATCACAACAAATAGATAATAATATCATGCATTATTAAAACAATATCGGGTCATGCCTGATTGCGCAGTAATCGTCGGTACATAAAACGAACAGAATAGATAAAGAAAAAAAACAATATTGTACTATTCTTTTCTTTGAAAGATGCTTATTTTTATGTTTCTAGAATAAACGTAGTTATTCTAAAACAATCTTTGCAAACGAACGAAGATGCAAAACAAGATATTAGTGCGTTCAACAAACGTGCTATCATAAGTTCTCTAAGAGACAAATAAACAATTTGCAGAAGATAGGCGCTGGAAATCTTTATAAATAGGGATGTTCGGTTCTTGGTTCTGAAACCGAAATGGCGGTTCCGGTTCTCGAGTTAGAACAGAATCGAAAGAACCGCAGTTCCGGTCCTCGGTTCTCAGCTTAGAACCGGGGAAGAATTTTTCAGTCAGTAACAATTCAACAAAATAAAATTCATTTTATAGTAGACCAAAAGATTCTTTTAAATAATGGCCGGCAAATATATCGTTTTGCAGTTTTGTCCATAGTGTGTTTTCATTTTGTTAAAAGAAAGGCAAAACAAAAAGATAAGGCAGAAGAGAAAAGAACGAATTATTGTTTCGCCTATCCTTTTTGTCCTTCATAAAGAAATACAACTTTGATCGTTCGTTCACACTCCTTCTTTTTCTGTCAGTGCCGTACTTTTCTATCGTCTGATCTTAACAGTTTCAAAAGACCAGATGTTATGGCCATTATAACGCCATAATATTGGCTTTAAGTCTTATCTAAGAAGAGTCGGTGGGTTCGCCAGGTATAGAAGATCTCATGTAAAAGAAGTTGCGCATAAGTATACCTTATGAACACTAAATATAGCTTTCTCGAAATAAAACTGTAGTATCTATGATTAAAAAAGTCTCGGTTCCAAAAAAAGGAACCGTCTTTAAAACCGCTATTCCGGTTGTCGATGAAGAACCTAAAACAAGAGAACCGCGGTTCCGGTTCTTAACGAGAACCGAGATCCGAACATCCCTATTCATGACTTACACATGTGTGTATAAGAAAAAAGCCGTAGGCTACGCTGCCCACGAACTTCGAACAATTCTGATGCACCTCTGGAACATGAATCAAACTTTTCTAATCTTCAAAAACACAAAAAGCAAATTTACTAGCCCTTGAATCCACTTTCATTTGCTTCATACAGTCTCGATATTGTGGATCCATCTATTGTTTTATAAGGAATCTCGATAGTCTTTGGTAAAAAACTCTGCTTATTAATGTTGATTTTAAAGATAATAGTTCTATCTCACTGCGTTTACTGGTCTGTGATTTCTTATACTAGTGAATCATAGTAAAGGGAAGTGCATTGAAAAATAAATTGTCTGATTACTTTTTTGTTTGTCGTTCTTGTTTTTTTTATGTGATTTGGAAAGAAAAGAAAGCGGAGATGCAGAATATGTTTGTATAACGATATAATCTTATGGTCGTAAAAGAGAACAGCAAAACTTGTTTTAACAGATGACTTTTGGTCATGGGAAACTATAATCATTTACGTAAAATACTCTGATTGGTTTCAACGCGCAACTGATAGAAGCCAGCGACAATCCAATATTAAAAGTGTATTTAGCTTTCCATAACTATTATTTCTCTCTCTCTGATCTGTACTTGACAAATACAAATATTCACGCACTTGTGCTAGACGAGATTGAGAAAAAGAACCTGAAATTACAGACATTGAATCCACTAGATATTCTGATTTGTTCGGGAAAATTGATGAACTTATCTTGAATTGTGTTTTCCTGAACCGGAAGAAAAAGAGTAGCATAATTGTAAAAACACAATCCTGATCAGAAAATCACACAGTACGCATCCAGGTGAAGATTCTGAAACAAGTCAACTTCAACTTTTTCTATTTATTAAGGCCACCCCCTGAAAACTCATACTTTTTTCTTTATCCATGCCATGAGTGGAAAAGAGTTGCCATGTATTCGTATAACTCTTCGTATAACTGAATGGGTTTTAAAATAACTTACGAGGGAAGTACCCCAACTGATAAATCGCTTTTTTAACGAAACCGAGTGGCCTATAGGTAGTCGACGATGCTAGTTCCGAATATCACCATGAATGCTGCTGCTAGGCCTTCAAAGACCGGTCTTCTCGAAAACTCTAAAGGACAACCAAAAGCTTTCTTAATGAGGCGTAATTGTAGTCCGTAAATTTCTGATTAAAACGAGGCATCTCGCAGCTCTACACGACCTTTCTTTGCAAAGTTATAGAGTTTACAAGAAAAGCCCTAAATGTTCATTGTCCTCAGAGCTACAGAAAGGAAAACGAAAAATGAATTGATGCCTGGGAGATGCCTCGTTTTAAAGAAATGGGTTGTTGCGATAGCGTACCAACAACGACACCAGCACTCGTCTATAACAAATTCCAGTTTATCACATACAACGCAAAACGAACTGTTTTTACTTCAAAAGATTATTCCATCAGTACCAGAAAAATGGCAACAATCCCTAATCAATATACCTTATCGTTCACTACTAAATGCGTATAACTATCAGGGAATGGCTATAATAAATTTAAAAAAATTCGAATATCACTTAGTTATGAAAAATGAAAAGAGAGCAATAACAATGTTATTGAATCATTTACCATACAATCATTATATATTTATCGATATATGGTCAAATATGGCTCTTGCACGTATACCGTGAGGAAGATTTGATGCTGTTAGTTATAGAAATGTTGAAACGGGATGATGACATTAACAATAATATAAAAATAGCAATGTTTTACTACCATCTTGGTTAAATTTATAAATGGATTAAAACGTATGCTTTATCTATTAAACGCATGAACGAAGCATTGAATTAGATCGTTCAACGTTTGAACAAGGAACAATTCGTTCAGTTGAACAAGAACTAGCGTACATTTTGTCGCAAGAGGATAGGCTAAGCAATCGTTCTCAATCTCCTTTGTTGTTTTCAGAGAAATCATACCACTGATAAAAAAAATTAAAGTTTGTTTAGAGTTAAAGAAAATTGCATTTTCGTATTCAGCACACTTGATAACCTGAAAATTTTCTATTTTTAGCGAGGGCTACCGCCAAAAAGTTACTCCAGTAAAGACCATCGCGCCAGTTTCTTCCATAACATGAGTTCCTACAACATTTGTGAACCATGATTATTTTAAACACCAAATGTATTATTCCAAGATTTAACGAAAATCCTCTTCGAATGAGCTCTTATGTTTCTATGTCTGTGATTCATCAATTTTCTTTAATGATGTAGGGTTGTTGAGAAGTGTTTGTTCTACCTGATAATAATCGAACATCTTCTGATTCATGTTTTTTTGATTAAATCGGTTTCACCTAAGATTAAATCATTGTAAACAGTAAAATTCCACTAACAGACTAGTCACAACTTACCCGTTAATGATGATTCATCTAGTTTCATATCACTGGCTTGAATAAGTATTCCGTCGGCGGGTAATAAATCATCTGTTTAAAATAATAAGCCTTTCCTTCAGACAATATATTATTGAGCTGTTTATTATTGTATTCACCATATTTTGTGGGGCACATGTCCCCTACAACAAGCTCTCGTGGATTAATTTGTTGAATTTTTCCATCTCGAATAATGTTTGCTAACTGATACCTCTCAATTTTCGTTTTGTAAACTAAGAAATTGTTTTTCTTTTCTCCAGTCATTGAACACTGTAAAAAAACTTAAATTATTCACTGCTTCCCAACATAACCTTGAAAAACTTATTGGTTTTAGTGGTATTTCATTCTGTCCATATGCATTTCGTTTTTGTTCCAAGTCAGCTTCATTATCTGATTGTAATCCATTCTTTCGATCTGTTTTTAATTTTTGTATCAGACCATTTAATCCACCATAATCATTATTTAATCTATCAATCAATTCTTTTCCATGTAATTCCATGAGTTCACGCAACTCTTCGACATCAATATCAAATCATACGATCCACTCTCATTTTGCATTTCAATCATGTCATTTTTTTTCTTGAATAAGGACATTTAACAAAAATAACAACGTCAGATAAAAAACGCCAGATAAAAAAAATTGTATGCTGCTAACAGTGAACAAATTTACAACTAGCGTTTGATTTATCGAATACAATGACCTTAATATCAGATATTCTCATCAGCTTGTCATTTCATAAGTTATGTCTTCTCAAGAACTTCTTCATTTCAGAAATGTCTCATACAGAATGTCTAGCTCCGTTTATCACAGCTATTACGAATACTGCGCTTAATTTGCTCGGAAAAACTCTTGTAGCCATGAAAACTGGCGACATAGATTTAAATACTTTCTATTTTACTGGTGATTTTAAGCTTCAACTTTTCATGTGACACTTATCGCTTTCCTTGCATTTTTCTCTAAATATTGATAGAGCTCTTTGCTCTTCAAAAGTTTCTCTTCATCATGACCTTTTTGCTTTATAATATACAAAGATGGAAAAGCATAAAAAATATCATTTTAAGTATTAGACAATTGTGAACATTCAGTCATTTACAAATTCTATATTGAAATAAAGAAATGCAAAACTAAGTAAATTCGAACCTAGTTCAACCTTCATATCCGGATTAAATGGAAAACAATAAGCTTTGTAAGCTAAGCAGAATTTATAAGATTTCCAGATGAAAACATTTTATCAAGCCAGAGAGAAGTTGAAACTTTACAATTAATATTCATCGCTTATTTTGTGTGTAAAACCACAGCAGAAGAATCGCAAAGATCAACGTAGCACGAATATTACAACACTCATCTTTTTAAAGTTTTTTCCAAAACAAAAACAGATGTATGCTAGGTTTTCCCTACATATCAATGTCAGGAGAAAAATCTCCACGCTTCATATGTATCTCAAACACCTTCAGGGCAGAAACCTATCGTATTCTATAGCCAACGTTGTAAGCTTCAATGATTGAGTCAGTTCAACCTGTCTTGCAAAAGTTTGGTTTAAAGGAGAGTGACTACTAAATACGCCCCACACTTTTCTGTCCTTCAACTAACCTTTCATACTCGTACCCGCAACAGTGTACCCGTACCCGAAAACGCAAACGTGCTAAAACAATACATATATATAACTTTATCTACCAAAGAAAAAAATAACAATAGACAATATCAGTTTTCATTGAAATTACGTAAGAATACCAGAGAATCAACAGATTCTGGACTTAATAATTGTCTTCGAGCCTCTAATATTCTTCCTGTTTCACTAAATATTCGTTCAGCTTTAGCTGAGCTGGCTGGAATTGCTAATAATGATAGTGCTAAACGTGACAATTGTTTATAAATTATTTTTCCAACATATTTCCAGCTTTTGGATAAATGAATTTTGTTTTAATATATTCATTTATTCCATCATATGGTTCACCATCTTCGTCATCGGTTGAAGATGCGTCGTAATATATCATCAATATTGAGTTTATCTCTTTTGGCTCGCTTATTTGGATTTTTCTTATGAGTTGGTGTTGTGGCTGTTGTTAGTGCAGACAGTGCTTCTTTGATCAATACCAGGTGTTTTTATCATTTTTCTTACACTTGTAACAACTGTATTATGTTCTGATTGTGTAAGAGACTGAAAAAAGAACATGCATCTTACTCTCGGTTAGATAATTAATATTGTAAACTTACAGATAATGATTTTGTTACTGGATGTAAGAAGGAACAAATATAATGACTTTCAGATAACCATATTTTTTCATCCAGTTTTTGTAAAAGAATCCCTTTCAGTTTTTTTGTAGCTAATTTTTCACTATTTCTTGTTACATAGCATTGTTTAAATTTTTTGACAAACGGTAATACCAGATGTAAAGTCGGCGTATCATCAGCTGATAATAGTTCGCCACCAATTTTAAATGTTGATAATAAATCTGCTACTTCTTTGGCCAATGTATGATCAGTATTATCAAGAAAATGCTCTTCATTTCGATTGAGCAGTATATCCTCAACTTCACAAAAATTACGCCAAAGTGATTCAAACATTTCGTATGTGAAATTCCAGCGTGTCACAATCGTGCTTTAATGTTGTGTCTAATCAATGCAACCACTCAATCTGTCAATCAAGCAGCTAGAAAAACTCTCTTGTGCGTGGCTTAACACCAGTTTTAGATGCCGTAAATAGCATTGCTTTTAACATAACATTCTGTATCTGTCCATTTTTTGCCATAATGCATGTTAATTGTTAAATAACTTTCACAAGAATATTTATTTTTCCAGTAGCCACATGTGATGCCGAATAATTTCGCATTTTGCAGATCAACTTTTAACATTTCAATAAACTCTAACCGTTTTCCTAAACATAAAAGAAATTCAACGGTAAAGACAACGTTTTTAGGTGCGTTTATGCTCACCATCAGCTAATGAGTTAACACGTCGTGCAATTGTTGTATGATCCGGTAAAATATCTGATGCTATAATTCGATGACTTTGAGAATGACCAGCATCTAATAGCGCTTGGCATAATGTTTCCGTGACCGTTGACGATATCAAATGGACGCATATCATACGAACAAAAGTTCGCGCAGGCTTCAGTGACTGATCGTCTTAAATCCATTGAGATATTGGCAGTTATATCATTTTTGAAATGTGTGGTTTTCTTTGGGATAACATCACCACCGTTACATGTTCCAACGTGTAACTTATGCCAATTACTTCCAGTTTTCTGTGCATCATAAGATAATATTGATTTGCATTTAATACATTGAACAAATGGAATAATCTTTTGTTGATCATCTTGGATACGTTGAAATGAATTCCACCATGTTGCTGTGCCTGTTTCAGATTTATTACAGGTTTGAAATTATCCGTTGTCTAACTTCACTTTAATATCATTTTTTTCTTTGTCGTTGTCCTTCCTTGGAGTACTCATTTTATAACCACTAATTATGATAGAAATTTATTTTTAGAACTACACTGAAGTGTACAATACGTTATGAGAAAACTATATTTGACTGAAGTTTTGGACTACAGCTAATTATACATATATGACACTGACGTATTTTCATTGTGCTGGGAAATATTTGTTTCGTACCTTCAGAACAGAAATCGAACATATATGTTATTGTATGTTATATAAACCTAATTACATTTTTCGACCGATATCGTCTGACATATGAAAGAAAGCACCTCACAGAAAAATGAATATGTCAGTTTGTTATATATTTTCTTATTTGATTTATAACTTCGAGACGAAAGCGAACTAATAACATTAGATTTCCTCGGGGATAATCTAAAAAATCTAACCCGTACCCGACAACTTTGTAACCGTACCCAACCCGTACTCGACACTTTCGTACCCATACCCAGCCTTCGGGTTGGGTCGGGTTGCCCATCTCTAGTGAGAAGATGAAGAATAACGCACTAAACCTCTTTCTCTCTCAGAATGTTCAAGCCCGAACACGAAAAGAAATTGTGCAAATAATCTTTATTTCTAAGAATTAGTCGAGCTTATTAAATTTCCATTTAATTACGCGAAGCTTTTATTCAAACAAACTACTGTGAAAGAAATCGCATAACTTTCAGCATGAATATACTAAGTTCGTCTGACAATAAATAAGGAATATTAAACTTCCATATACATAAAAATCCTTCGCTCTTCAATATTATTGTCACGTTCTTCTATCGCTCATATGTTGTTTGATATCCTCACCTGTAACATAATTGAAAAAATTATTGTTTAAAGGAGATTTCATTTTGTAAAATTACTTTCAAAAATGAATGAAACTGATTTATTTCAATGTACTCGTGTACTGTAAGGTGTAGTGAATGTTTATTAATTTGTTTACGTTATATTGAGTGAAAATCAAATAAATATGTTAAACCGTAATGTGATTGCAATTTTGGATGATAATATCTATTGTGCAGTTTAGAACCGAACTTTATACAATTTTGATTTAAATGATTAAACGACGAGAATGCTAATCTATTGTTAGTTAGGAATTTCCAGCGCTAACTTTGACATTAGAATACATCACATATTTAGAAGTTTTCAAAAGATTAAAAGATGAATGAACAATTGTAGCTGATAATCCTTTTCTAATGTAACATAAATATAAAATTAAATTTTTTCTTTATTACAAATTGAAAAATTGTTTTACATAAGAAGTTTCAAAGCTCTCTTAACACTACATGTATAAACACAAGATCTCTAACGATGTTATAAATGATGAGCTTATAATTTATTAAAAACTAACAACCACCAAGTTAACATTATTAAGTTAGAGACGGACGAAATTTTTTGTACGGATTACAAATTGTATAATATTTTAAATTTAAAACAGGAACTGAATATTGCATTAATATTATCAAACAGAATAGCAAAGATAATCATGGAATTTTATGGAAAGAACAATAATTATATTAGTGCTACTGTAAAACAAGTATTTAGAAAAGTATGATGAAGATGAACATCGAGTATTGATATCAGATAAATCAAGTATTATTTCAAGGCTGATATAAGTACTACATCGTTTATTATGAGTAAATTCATTTATGTACAAAATCCAAATAATATGTTCCATGATATAAACAGATATAACCTTTATATTCCCAATGTATACAAGTCATTAATTGATATTTCGTTTTTCTCATAACTAATTTCGGTAGAACTGACGTTTTTCAGTTATGCTAATTAGTAATATCTCACGTACGAAAGTGTCTCTTCGGCGATAGATGATAATGTCAAACATCTGAAAATGAATTTAAGTAAGTTTGATCTCATGAAAATAATCATTGGATGACTCATAAAAAATATTGAACGGTACGCGAAGAAGGAGATAGACTTCGGGCAGTGGACAAAACGAGTTAGTCTCGATAGTGGCTCGCAAAGAGATGAATGAGTCGTCAGGAAGTACATATGGCTAGAAGCACATCAAACTGACTCTTCTCACGATTGGCAATCTATTCAATTCTTCCTTTTCTATTGTATTCATCACAAATCGAGGATATTTATCTGTCTGTAATAAAGCTGTCCTTTATTGTTTGTTTGATATTTAGTTTCTTCCATCTTCCATATGACTAAAAGCACAAGAGCAAAGACAGAACTTGCGATAATGCAATACTGCTCTATGCATTATTTACGGATGATTAAAAGTAGTGAAGAATGAAATTGCTTACACTGGTCATAATTTTATGCTTGCAAGAGCATATTCAAACTATATCAGGTCTTGGCTCGCCAGCTCTAAGCTAATCCATTTTACTTTTGTTTTTATTTTAATCAGTTGTCCTAACTGATCCACAATCGAATATCAGTAAAGAAATGTGCATCTTTTGTGATCTTATATGTAGATGGTAAGTGAAGTCTCAACCATTTGATAAGTTCATCTCCGTTTTTCTTGTCAGCTCGACAGCGAACATTCAGTGCTCGAAGATTGGCCATTTTTTTCACAAGATCGAGTATATTAGTTTGATTCTCAACTTCGATCACAAGAACTTCGCATTGGATACCTAGCGGTGACCGAATCAATGTTATACACTGCTGACTATTGAAGCACTGAGTATGGCCAGATCGATTGATTCCTCGCAAATCCAGTTGACGAACTGATGAGTTCGTACATTGGAATGGTGGCATTTCCCAAATAGTTGTCCCGGCAGTCTAAACAAAGTTTAAAACATTTTGTTACGTAGTGTCCATGATGCCAATAAACAGTTATAAAAAAACTTTATTTTCGTTTTGCTCAATAGGTCATTTTCACTTCTTATTTGCAACTCATTTCAAATAATAGATTTTCGTTACCTCATATTTCTAACAGAATAAACTCTTACACCTTTAATTTGTTCCTTTTATCCGATTCATTACTCCAGATTAACGGCACGGCGAACGAAGAACTTGATTTTTGCACGCAAATGTTGTCTAATCAAAGTCTTGTACAGATAATTGTATCTTATCGAAAAGACAGGTCGATCCGAACTATGATGGATGCATGACATTTTCAGATTTCACAACTGATTACATTTTTAACAGCTAATACAAAATTTTCTTTGTAGACCACATTGAATTTTTGATTACATTCATGAGATATCTTTATATTTTGAGCCGCGAAGAGTTCTTTGTGGTTGATCTTGTTTTTCTACAGTCGTCACAGAAAAATACATCGTACATATCGTTAGACTGAGTTTCATATGAATTCACAATATGACTTCGAACTGTATTTTTCTTTCTATGGTTGAAGATCTTGGCTTAATGATAAGTACACTCTCAAATAAATGAGTGAAGAAGGACGACGCGTCTTAGAGAGGAGAAGATCAGATAAAATTCAAATGAAAAGCGATAGCACACTTGAAAATGAATTGGAGTCTATTAATATGTACGATCCGCCTACTTATTGACAATTCAAGGGTACATTCGCTTGCCACAGAGTGATGATTCAATGAACACTGAGGTGAGATCGATACAGTTCTCATATCTTCTGGTACGCTCACGAGGAAAGGACACCAACGGGCAAATCGCTTTTGGCCTAAAACTAAGTGGAAAATAGGTTATCGACTATGCTGATTCCGAATATGACAATGATTTGGGCTGATAGGCCTTTGGAAAGAGCATTTCGCGAAAGCTATAAAAAAATATATTTTCAAAATTGTCCGAAGGTTTTTCGACAGTTTTCGTAACACTTTCCAGAAAAATCCAATGTTCAGCCTCCAAAAAGTGTCTGAAAACCTTCGGACAATTTTGAAAATATATTTTTTTATAGCTTTCGCGAAATGCTCTTTCATCTGGCCGAGTCGGAAAATTTTTTAGAAACGATAAAACTTTTGCCTTGGAAAACCAGGTTTCCAGGGACCCGGTCTCCAAAGGCCTATCAGCCCAAATCATTGTCATATTCGGAATCAGCATAGTCGATAACCTATTTTCCACTTAGTTTTAGGCCAAAAGCGATTTGCC